TTAAGTTCTGATCGCCTGACCCAACAGCATTCTTTCACATCCTGGTATATACATGGTTTTACAGTTGGGACGTAAAGAAAAGCCAGTTTGTACAGTACAGAGCACGATGAAGTGTCGTGAGGGTTACCAGCGATTTTCTTAACTTGGCTTTTTGCACAAATCGGTTAAGATGTTTCAGTATTTAAGCATGGAGAATAATTTCCATTTAATAAACACTGTTTAAAAGAAAATTAAAGGAAAGACTCTTCCTTAACCTTGACCCCACCTATTCCAACAATCCTCAGACATCATTTCATTTTTAAGGCCTATTCAAAATGACAGGTGGACAAATTTCACCAACTGCCTCTTTTGATTCTCAGTACTCAGAACTTCTAAATTTAACATAAAAAGACAATCAGCTAAGCAGTGAAAAGATACCTTGGATTTGTTGAAGAATAAGCTGAGACAAACAGAAAATTTTCAGTTTGCAACAGTTAGTTAAATGTATATATTTCTACTCTAACAATATATACATTGTCTCACACATATAGTAACCAGAGAGTCTTACTTATAGTAAGCTACAGCTTGTAGTCAGAATCTTAGATCACACACGTTACTCTCTCTGATGCCTATTATAAAACAGTCATTAAAAAAAAGTGAGGCTGGGGACAAAAGGTGCCGCCTTAAGTAACGTTGAAAAAATGTGTTCTGACTGGATGCTGCAAGGCTTGACAAAAATAGAAATGTACATAAGCAACTGTAGTCAGCAGGTAAATTTCTCACAGGAGTACTGGGTTAGCAATTGTGAAATTACTTTTATGTACACTAGGATTGAAAACCAATAAATTGTAGATAATGGGAGTTGAGTTTCTCACTGACAAAGAAAGAAGTTACAAATAAGCAAACGGAAAAAGCTAGAATATAACCTGTGGTGCTGGATCAGAAGGTGCAGATAACAGTATGAACTCAGGTTTATTTTAAATATATAGATAGATACAGAAGTAATCTTAAATATGTGGTATAGCTATGTTCATCTACATTAAACAAGCCATAAACATTCTAGTGTTGATTCTAAATACCATTCCCCAATCAAAGTAACAGGACTCCTTGGAGACACAGCTGATTCTAGGGCTGGGGCAGAGAATCCAAGAGGACACCGGAGTATGTTGTAGTGCCAGGAAGGAAGCAAGGCTAAGGAGAGAAAACAAGGGCATGACTCCCAGGGGCCAAAGCTGGAACAATCTGAGCCACAAAACAAGTAACTACAATATTTGATTCTAACACACACACACAAACAAAAGATATACCCATGAGCTGATACTGAGAAATGACTGAATGGGGGAGAAGGGTCAACCTCCCTTACATAAGAATTCCAAATGAATAAATGTAGGAAGTGGAGCTTAATTCCTCTCCTCCTTGACCAAGGGTTGGACTTTGTGACTCACTTCCAAAGAATAGCATATGGAATGGAAAAATAGTAACTCCCTAATAGAGAAAGAAGCCGGGCAGATACCATCTTAACCAAGTGATTAAGGTTAATATCGCCAGTGCTAAGCCACGGGGTATCATGTGTCCCCTGACGTGCCAGAATGAGAAGGGTATCTCACCTCTGTGGTCTTCTTCCCCAGAAACTCACAATCCCAGTAAAAGCATGAGAATGTATCAGATCTGAATTGAGGGACTTTTTACATAATACCCAACCAGTATTATTCAAAAATGTCAAGGTCTAGGAAAATAGGGGAGGACTGAGAAACTGTTCCAGAACAAGGAGATATGATGACTAGATGCACTGGCATCTTAAGATTGGATCCAGGCACAGAACAAGGACATTGGTGGAAAAACTGTGAAATCCCCATAGAGTGTGTTGGGTTAACTGTATTGCACTGATGTTGATCTTGGTGTTCATAAACAGCATGCATGTGAAATGTTAGCATTAAGGGAAGCTCGAGGAACCGTGTAGAGGAACTCTGTACTATCCTTCCAACTTTTCTGGAAAATTTTAAATTACTCCAAAATTTTAAGTTCTGGGGTATTCAAAGAAGTAAAAATAGTCCACACTCTCACTAATTTGCATAATTTATCTGTAAAAAATATTTTTCCTAATTCAAATATCTTTTTCAAAGTTTAGGTGGCATATGCCAGCTTATTTTTAAGATTACAGAAAAATCAGAAAGGTTTAAATGTGTAAGCTCTTCATGTGTAACTAGAGCTTACACCATTTCTTTAAAAAGTGACATAAGATGAATGCAAGCTATCCTAATATTGGCTACTGTGGAGACAAATAGGAAGGAATTGTTGCCTGCTGGCAGATTAGTATGGGCATACTTTTGCTACTTGATTTTTTCATGAAAGCTTAGCCAAAGGGCACAGGGACTAACCCTAATTTTCCTTTAACACTCCATTCTAAACAGGTGACACTCACTTCAATTCAGTCTTCACCTAATTCTATTTTCAGAATCTCCTGAATTATAGCTACTACCCACTAAAGAATTTGTCCTGAAAGAACTTAAAGATTTTAAATGGAACAAAAAAAACCCCATTAACTGTGTTTAACTGGGAGGTGAGATCGGTGGCTCTCTTTTGCTTATTTTCCTGTTTTCTACAGAGTGTGGATAGTACCTGGCACAGCAGGAATTCAATATTCTGTACTGAATACTCTACTGGTATATTACTTTATTAGGGAATCAAGGTGGGGATGGACTCCCAGAACTGTCCCAGCCATGGCCATAAGGAAGCAGGGCCCAGTGGAGGCCCTGGGGGAGCTGAGGATCCTCATGAAGTCTGGCAGCAAGGGAACTTCGGCCTTCGTAGTTAGACCACCTTTTCAGCTGGGTGGGGACTGTCCCAGAGCAGCTGGGAAGTCTGTGAAGGCTGAGCTGTAGCTCTCCGGGGGTCCCCACCGAGCACTGTCACAGCTCCTCATGCCACCATCACGTGGACAGCAGGGACATCTCCGCGAGGACATCCTGAAGGGCAGGTTGTTAGTACCATCCAGCTTTCTATGCAGGGCCAGGTAGGGCCCAACATGGACAGCACTTTGAACACACATGCTGCCAAGAAGTTCTGGAGACATCCATCCTTTACATACTTGCAAGAAACCGACTCAGAGCAGGTCCAAGAGCCCAGACCCTGACCACTGTGCTTATTTTTCCTCAGATGGTCTGTCCTTTTGATTTCCGTACAGGACTCTTGTTATCTTAATCTGCAGTGTCATTTTTATTTCCTTTGTTTTTTGTCCCCAGTTGAGCTCCTGTAGTGAATATATTTTAAGACATTTTGTTTTAAAAAAAATAATCAAGATGCCTGCTTTTAGAAGTATCCTTTATAGCTTTATAACCTACAAGGATATGAAATTATAAGGATGAAAAGATTTTAAAATAAACATCAATCCTAGGATCAATGAGTACTGTTTATCTACTATGTAAACAAGGCGATGGAGAGGGACACCTGCCATTAACAGTTATATCTGGTAAGAGGAGAAAAAGAAAATCGATAGATAAGGCTCAAATATGTCTAAAATAATCTAAATAGACCTCACTTTACAAGACTGATCACTGGAAAATTTTATAAATAATCCTTCTATAATTGGGAAATTTTGTAAATAACCTTTCTATAATATACTGAACTGAATCTTTTTTTTCCCATTTTTATTTTTGGCAGTAACGTCAGATACTTTAAACCACTCCACCCTTGACTTACTCCAAAGTCTAAAGCAGTCAGTAAGCACTCAAAGTGTTTTATTGGAACTACTATCCATCAACTGTTTAGTGTGAATGTATGTGTCTTAAATGTATTCCCTTAAGTTTAAATTTACAATTTTTTAAGGTAGGGAACTATAGTTTCATTTTTGAAGCTGTACATAAATATTAGGAAAACGAACTAAACTGAGATAATTATATAAAGCTGAGTTAATTTTAGGAGACAAAAATCTTTAAAGCATCTTTACAATAACCAAAATATAAGAGGTAACACAGAACCCAGGAACCAAGCATTTCTACTATCCATCAACTGTTTAGTGTGAATGTATGTGTCTTAAATGTATTCCCTTAAGTTTAAATTTACAATTTTTTAAGGTAGGGAACTATAGTTTCATTTTTGAAGCTGTACATAAATATTAGGAAAACGAACTAAACTGAGATAATTATATAAAGCTGAGTTAATTTTAGGAGACAAAAATCTTTAAAGCATCTTTACAATAACCAAAATATAAGAGGTAACACAGAACCCAGGAACCAAGCATTTCACGACTTCCACGACCCAAGCTGATTAAGAATATCCTGATAGTACAGAGATGACGGAAAAATGATAAGTATCTTAAAGATATGAGTATCTTGAGGACAAAAGACTCTTGTTTAAATCCTTAAAAAATACTTATCCTTATAAATTAGGCAAAACATCCTTTTAACTTATTGGTGGTGGTAGTCGGGGACAACCATAGAACCAGGTGTAAAGACTAGTTTAAAGGGGTCCTGTCAAAAACATGACAAAGGCTAATGATCCAAAACATGAAAGTCTATGTACAACTGGGTATTTCTATTTACAGTTGGAATTTGGAAATCATGGCCGGTGCATTTTCTGGGCCTATTAAAACATTTTGTATTAGGGAACTTACATATAGGAAAAAGTAAGGACTACTTAGATTGTATAAATTAGAAGTGATAGAAATAAAGTTATAAGACTCACCTTCTACTAATATATTTATGACATACTTCTGACACTTAATACCAAATCAGTTAAGAAAACAAGAACTAGGTTAAAAGCAGATCCCCTCTCATGTACCTGACAACCAGTCTTCTCATATTTTTAGTTTCTGAGGTCTTTACTGGAAAAAAAGATTTAGAAAAAGCTGTACATAAATCACCTTTGTTTTTTATATAGAAGCACTAATAATAAAAGCTATTTTTAAAGTTTTACCTGACCATCAATTACCAAGTAGGTGATTTTTTGAAACAGGTATCCCCTTTCACATGCTTTAAGATAGCATCAATCAAGCAGTAAGAGTTAATAAGAATACACTTGTATTTGGTGCAAATTTAATTTTATTAAACCTTACAATGAATGTGGCATATCATTTTCCATTAGGTGACAATTTATTGGCTGGCATCTGAATACAGTACTTCTTTCAAAAGATACACAATGGGAACTGACAAGAGGGAGAAACTAGTTGTTTAGTGATACGTGAGGGTGAAAAAAAAAGATGACAAGCACTTGACTTTCGTTCCCTCAGTATCCCACTCTGGGACGGTCAGAGTCCCAGGCGGTACTGCTGCCGTTCCAGTGCACAGGAGCACGATCACTACCCGATCTGGCCCACAACTCTGAGAAAACTAATTATAAGGATTACTATACCTGTAAAATACAACCTAACTTTTCTGCTGGGCAACAGAATTTTAAAAAGCTACCTTTTCAAAGATAACCCAGACAATTTTCCCAAGTCACAGGAGAGGGGGGTCTCTAAGGAAGTCATTTACAAGTGAGCAATCACTTAACTTCAAAATCATAATGGGCACGAAATTACCTTTTGCTGATTTGGGCTTATGCCCTGTCATATTTATGGTTAAGAAAATGACTTTTTAAAATCTACAATCTGCCTTTACAAAGTAGACTGGTATCTAATGTGAGTAAACGGACCATTTCTTTTATAGAAATGATCAACAGTGGACCATCTAAAATCAACAGGCCTTTAACAGGGCACTTTTATGAAAATGTAATTGAAACTTACATATTAACTCCAGCCAACATCACCATGCTACAGTGTACAGCTTAGTATGACTCACATGAGTACAATTAGCTCATTAAGTATTAAATTACTCATCTATGGTTAAAAAAATAACACAATTTAAGTATTTTGTTAAATTCAGTCTTAGAAGCATTTTGAGAATACTTTCTGACAAAGGTCTTAACAGTGTCTGAGGTCACGTTTACTAGCCAACCCCTCTAAAATAACATCACAGACAATTCTGAGCTATTACACAAACTGATTTTTCAAGACCTCCTGGGGAGATGGCAAACAGCAGAGAATTGTGTTCTAAATGAAATAAGGCATTTCAGTCACCAAGACTGAAGAATAGTTCTAAGTTATTTATATTTAATGGTGGGAAAATGCTATGTAAAGAAATCCTTATTTTACACTAGTTGTGCAATTCAAGTCCACCTGCAAAACAGTGTGAGATATGCCTTACTGTAACAGCATGTAAAACCCTTCCCAAAAAAGAGGGGGAAATATTATATCACTTTAAAAATCTAATTTCTTAGCTTTTACTCACAAACTATTGAGATCAATAGAGATTTACTGTACTTGTAAACTTTTCCTTAAAAAAAAAAAAAGCTCATGCATATATAATTCTTTATACCACAAGGTTAGAGGCAAATGATTTCAGAATATTGATGTCTGTTATTTCTAGAATATTTGTCTAAATCACAAATTATTCTTAATATATGCAGCAGTTCAAATATTTCATTAAATTTGCCCATGGTAAATAAGAAACTAAAATCTCTTCATCAAAAGGTTGGAGAGTGACCATTTATATCCAATTCACCTTTTTCAATGGTGGAATTAAATTTAAAACCTAGTAAAATGAGTAAGGATATCTTTTTAAAAATTAAATATCAATTATTAAACCAGAAAATAAGACTAATACTTTTTTATTTACTACCCTTCATTGCAAGTTTTTTACTGCATAAAGGTGAAATAAACCTAATGTAACTCTTTGCAATGACTCCTTAAATCAACCTTTACATCAACTCTCAGAATAAAATGTCAACACAGAATGATCTGAGTGATCCAGCTCATTAAACTCACAGGTAAACTGAGTTTTTCTCAAACCATTAAGGAACTTTTTATTCAGAACAATCTCATTAAGACATTTGCAGGGCAAATATGCCATCAAAAGTTTTAGTCTGAATAACAGTAAAGTGCTGAATGATAATTACCTGAATCTTTTTTAGTACTTTTTCACTTAAGTTAAAAGAGCCCTTTCTGTGGCAGCAAAGCTGTTAAGAAAACAAAAAAAGAAAAGAAAAGAAAAGAAAAGGTAACCTCCAGGAAGGGAATTGGGAAGCACTGCAACTTTCTGTGTTTGACTATAGTGACAAATAATTGAGACCAAAGTAATTCATGCAAGTTATCTTTAAAGGTATACTTAAGCTTAAAGAAAGAAAGAACACTGTTACCAACCTGTGATACTATGGCAGTAAATTGCATACTAAAATGCCTTAATTATCCTAGATGCCTAGATCTGGCTTGGCAAGCATCATGCCACTGACATGCTTTAGCTCTTTTTGTAACTAAAAGTGTTTGCAGTTCAATTACTGAATATTTTAGTGTGACTCAGTAAGCTGTGTGATAAACTCTGAAATTGAATTGAAGCAAATTCTCTACACCTAACCACATCATCAGCACAAGCAGGACAACGCTGGCGCAGCATGAAAGGTGGGTCACTTTATAAAGATTCTTCCTTTTACTGCATGATATATTAAGATGACAGACCTAAATTTCAACTGGGTTAATGAATTAGAACAGATTTGTTTCCCAAATTTAGCACACAATAATTTCAGTGGATTAGAGAAAGAAATCTCAGATGTGAAGGAAAAAAAAACTAACCAAAAGCTTTAGCTCAGGTAGCTAACCTGTAATTCTAAAAATTGTCATGCTACAAGAGTACTTTCATTAAATGGACTTTGTAACAAACTTAACAGCGTTTTGAGTTGAAATTGACCAACTGCTGCATAGAAAATATGCTAACATACAACAGTCAAGTTTAAGCCGGTGCATAGAGAAGATAAAGCACTTATGGTAACTGCAAAATGGTAAGAAGTCCATAAAGTTTGTACAATCTAGCATGGGTCCATAGGGGGAAAACGGAAAAGTAGAAATGGTTAGGAAAAAGATACAGTAGAAACAGAGAAGAGAGAGGCTTGGAGAGAGAAGGGAGAAGCAGAAAAAAAGACCTTCAACTGTATAAAATTCACAAACCAGTAAAGTACAAAGACACCACTGAAAAATGGTTAACTGTCCCAAATACCCAACAGCAAACAAAACCAGAATGGATAAAAGCCTTTGGCAGACCATTTTAGGAATCTGAATATAACATTACATTTCTCAATAATTCACAAACAATATATTATATGATGTATTTATATTAAATACTGGGAAACCAATCCTGTAAATTTGATGCTTATAATGCTTTAGCCAATGAGAGCACGGTGATATCAAGCTGTATGAATGCTGGTGTTCTCACAACAGTGTTCATTTATGAAACAACTGTTCCCAATTCGTGCTTTAACAGTGCTAAAATGCAGTCAAGTTATCATCTATGAAGTGAAACAAAGGTCTCTAGCTTTTCTGGGATATGCCCTTTGTAAGATATTCTGTGATTCACTATGACACGAGCAGCAAGACACTGCAATGTGGTGTGATTTATGGGCTGGATCAAATTTTTAGCAATTTCCTTTTCATCCAGCAAGTCACTAGCAGTTTGTTTATGCAAGTTTGTGGCATCAAAATGTGCACCTGATTTAATGAGGAGATTCATGATGTCTGGATGGTTGTTCAGAGCAGCGATATGCAGGGGGCTGTTGTCATCAGAGTCTCTGACATTCGCATCAGCACCACATTCTATCAGCATCGCAGTGACTTGCAGAGATGGGAATTTGCACACAGGGTACCGACCTACACATGTGGTATTCTTGTCCACAGCCAGGTGGAGAGGGCTGAAGTTATTCTTTCCTCTTGGATGCAGCTTAAGAAACCGGTAGATAGTCTGCTTTTTGAAATGGTCCTGTTCTAGAGTACAAGGAACTTTTTCTAACAAGCAAATTAAATGCAAAATGATGGAAAGAGCCTTATTTAACTGTAATGGGTCAGCTGGACACTGAGTTTGTTTGATAGCTCGCTCAATTTCAAGGACACTTTTGCACAGTATGCCCATAAGATCATCAAATGTAACAGTGGTGCCCAGCAGACCCTTAGCCCTGTCCTGGAGCATAAAAGAGAATAGTTCTGCAAAAGACAATAAGCTGCTGGCAGTCATCGGGCTTAAGGGGTCCAAATTGTTCTGCTGCATATCCAGAGCATACTTCCACAGGTTAATGCAGCGTTTGAAATTTCCTGAGTCTGCATAGACAGCGCCTCTGTATCTAATGTAGTAAGAGGTGTCAGGATGAGAAGGACCAAGAATGCGCTCTCTAATTAGTAGTGCCTGCATTCTCATCTCATCGGGGTCAGCAATAAGACCTTCTAGCTCTTCCGCACTATTTACCTCCTTGGCATAATCATAAGCCATTATTAGTGTCTGCGGTACTGGTTTGCTAATTATATTAGTCCTGTCGCTGTACCTCATGTTCATGGCCTTTTTCCAGTATTTCAAGGCCCCAAGTAGGTCTCTTTTTTTGTCTACAAATGTAGCTCCCAGAAGCTCTAGAGCATTGATCCGTTCTGTCTTGCTGGTCTGCGCATGGTGAGTCAGAAAATCCACAATATTTGTGTGACCAGTCACACTTGCTGACAGAAGAGGAGTCATTCCATAGCCATCCTTTTCCATCTTGGCACAATACATAAGCAGCATCTTCATGATGTCCAAACTTCCGGACTCTGCACAATCATGCAGTGCGGTGTTACCTAAGGAGAGCAAGCAGATAGCACATTCTCAGGGATAGGATACAATGCATTCCATCCTTCAGCACCTGAAGAAGAGCAGGCAGCTCCAAGCTGCCCATAATGGGACATACTTTAATTTGACTAGAGATGAGGATAAATGATCCCTGGCACCTAAAATTGGTGTCTGACACATGGAAGGAATGAGAGAAATATTTATCACAGCTTGTTGATTAATGAAAGGACAAAATAAGGCAAGATAACCAAAGTCACTAGATGAAATTCAAAATTAATCCATGGCCTCTTGGTATGTTTCAGCAATGTTTTCAAGTGCATATTCTATGACTGAACACTGATGAAATGAAATTAACCAGCTATTCACAGTTTTGCTGATAATCATTTAACTATTCTTTATTTTAAAAGGGAAACCTAGTCTGTAGTCTCTAAGATTCTCCAATTTGATTCTAATAGCAGTTAGAAATTATGTTTTCAGTATTTCTGATTGTGAAGTGAACTTCAGCTGTTCTAGTCAAAATTTTTGGTAACAAAGTACTTTCTTCAAAAAGCTCCCATAAGAAAAACAAGTCCACTGAAATCTGAAAAATATGTGGGTGGTTCAGTATGAACTTTAAAAGAAGACATCTGAAGTGTCCTTTCATAATGGATTGTTTCCCATTGTAATTTCATTTTTTAAACATTCTTTTTAGATGTACTAACTGTTCTAACACTGTCCTGTTCTTCCCACACATGGATTAAAGCTGACAACAGGCAGTGCCACGTTGGTAAGAGCCTATATGGAACCTATGAAGGCATTATAACAACCCAAGTATTTTAGCTACCTATGTTTAATGATAAACGTTTTACTAATTATCAAAACAAATTATCATGCAGGCCTTTGATATTTACATACAATGTTTACATAAAATTTCAATGTTGAGTCATTTCTGAGTCATTTTAGGCACATGTGCGGAAAGGAGTTAATACAGCAAGCTGGCTGAGACAGCTATTGGTAGAAAGACCTGCTTGCAAGGACGGCTCTTGCTGGCATCTGGGGACTTGTCTGGTAAAGAGTTCCAAGATATAAAATCTTCCCTGATGAGGGAGGTTCACTGTTTATATAAACAACACACTTTACACTGAACACCTGTTTTTCCTTTGGAAGTCTATAATTCTGAATACATGCTCAACAAAGGGTACCTACAGGACTAGACCCCAATAAAAACCTTGGGCACTGTGTCTCTAATAGATTTCCCTGGGTAGAACATCACACACATGCATATATGTTGCCAGAAGATTGTGCTTTACATGACCTCTCATGAGAGGGAAAAGAGGGTAAAAAAGCCTGCACACAGATTCCTCTAGCGTCCCCCTTCCCCTTAGGATCCAGCTGCATGTCCTCATTACCTCACTGTAATAAATCTTAGTTAACCTTGAGTACAATCATGTGCTGAGTCACCTCCAAACATGGGTGGCCTTGGGGCGGCTGACACAGCATGTAATACTAGAGAGTAGTTTAAGCCTCAATACTTCACATAACCAATCTATACCTAAAATGTGAAAAAGCCAAAGTTATTATACACTATAACTTTAATCTCTCCACAAGTTTATCCTGTTCAGTGACCATCATATATATATATATATATCTACATGGAGTACATAATTAACTGGGTATATTTACTCCAATCCAGGATTTCAGTAGTCTATAGTGGAATGGTGTCTGGTAGAATGTTTTAGCAATGGAATGGTAACCAAGCACTCAGAGAGCCCAGAACTTCCCACTACTGATATTCATTTGTTCAAAATAATTTCAATTAAACATGACTATTACTAAGTATATTTTAAAATACTCTTTTGAACTAAGAATCCCTAATATTCTTTCAGAAATATTTTTCTCTAAGTGATAGGCAACATTAAGAAAACCATGAGGCTTAGATGACATTTGCCTCTATTCAAAGCAACATAGAATCAAGAATAAGAATGAAGTAAAAGCCAGCTTTTAACTAATTCAATTGCTCTACTGGAAAAACATAGAATATATATATATATATAAACATTGTGTGTGTGTGTGTATATATATATATATATATATGTATGAACTTATGTACATAAACAAAAAACACCATATATTGAAAAAATGGTGGTTTCATTTTAAAAAGGGAAATTTTCACATCTAGTAATGGCAGAGGAGATATGATCACCCTACCACTTTATATATATATATATATATGTATGAACTTATGTACATAAACAAAAAACACCATATATTGAAAAAATGGTGGTTTCATTTTAAAAAGGGAAATTTTCACATCTAGTAATGGCAGAGGAGATATGATCACCCTACCACTAAGAACTAGAGAAACTGAGGAGTGTATTTGTAAAAATCTGTTTGACGGCATGTAAGCTCTTACATGCTACCAAGGGTACAACATCTAGGAAAAGAAAGAAAATTAGAGAAGCCCAGAATTTGAGGACTCTTCCCTCAGTGGACTCTGACACTGAAAGAGGCATCTGAACAACTGAGCAGAGTTTTTGACAACCGTGCAGGGCCAGAGAACACTGGAGTCCAGAGCCCACAGAAGGGAACTTAGTAACTCTCCGCTTTGGGTTATCCCTCTGAAGGGCTGCACTCCAGCAGTTCAGGTAAACTGCAGATAGGCCAGCTATCACAGGAATCAAAAGCCAGTCTCAGACCATCTCGATACTGAATTAAAGGAATTCAACACTGCTAGTAAAAGTAATCAAAAGCCAGAAGCAACTACAAATACTACTACTTAGAGGAAGTTATTATCATACTAGGGCTCAAATTATTTTTTTTATATTCTTCATATATGATGTTTGGCATTCAATCAAAAATAATAGACAGAAGAGGAAATAAGGAACTATACTGCAAAAACCAAAGGCAGTAATAGAAGTGAAGGAAAAGCCCCGTAGAGGACCCAGATAATACAGTGATCAGACACAGACTTTAACATTAAAACTATGCTTACCATACTGAGAGAGATTAGATAGAATTCTGAGAATTAGACAGAAAACTGGAAACAACAAAAAAGAACCAAATGGACATTCTAGAATTGAAAAACTCAGTGGGTGGCTTTAAAAGTAAGTAACACACAGCTGAATAGATAATTAGTGAACTAGAAAATAAGCCAGATAAAATATACAGAAGAAACATGGAGGTGAAAGGACAGAAAAGCGGACTATAAGGGACAAGAGGGAACAAGGTCAGAAGGGTTAATGGACCTAAAACCAGAATTCTAGAGGAAGAAAATGGGCTCAAAGCAATACTTAAAAAGATACGTCTGAGAATTTTCTGAAGCTGATAATAGATAAAACTATAAATTTACTCGGTTTTACAAACATCAAAAAGGATAAATAAAACCACACTGGGGCACACTACAGCAAAACTGTTGAAAACTAAGAGTAAAGAGAAAAATCTTAAAGCCAGAAAATAGAAACTACCTGCAAAAGAGCAACAATTAGACTAACAGCAAAGTCCTCATCAGGAACAACAGAAGCCAGGAGACAAGAGGATGACATCCTAAAGTCACTAAGGGAAAATATCTGCCAAGTTAGAATTGTACACCCACATCAAGAAAAAAAGAACTATTTCAGGTAAGAAAGAAAACAAAGAGAAAAAACTAAGATATTATTAGCAGACCTAAATACCATCAGATGTTCTTTAAGCAAAAGGAAGATGAGCCACATGGAATCGAGATATGGGCATAAATATCAACAAAAAGGGTAACTTTTTGTTAGATGTAAGAAATCTATCTAAGTAATGACTTTAAAATTCTAAAATCTTGTAGGGCTTGAAATATCTACAGAAGCAAAATGCCTGACAATAACAGGACTGAATAAGAACAGTAACTGGAGTTAAAGTAGTCTAAGATCTCTGCATTGCTCGGAAAGTAGTAAAATTGACATTTATGTTAGCCTTTGATAAGTCAAAGTAGTACTATATGGGGTAAACACTAAAATAAAGGGCATACATATAAAATTACTACATATTCTCTAATACAGAAGAAAAAATGAAGTGAAAAATAATCCAAAAACAAAAAGAAGAGACAACACAAACTAAGTAGGACAAATAAAAATCAAAAAGTACCCGGGAGATTAACATCCAAATATATCAGTGATCACATTAAATGCAAGCAAAGCACATGTTCCTATTATATTAAAAGACAACTGTCAAGACTGGAAATACAAACATAAAACTCAACGGCATGCTGCTTACAAGGGAAACACCCTAAATATAAGGATAGAAAAATGTTGAAGTAAAAAGATGGGGCAAAAATGTATACCCTAAGCAAAGACTAAATGTAAAAAAGCTGATTGGTATTTAAATATCAGACTGAGTAGACTTAAACCAAAATCCATGATTAAAGATATTCTTGATAATTTGTTTTCACTTAAAAACATAGACTTGAATTATATCAATAAAGCAAAATCAACAGTACAGGAAAATCAGACAAATCCGTAATCACAGTACATTTGAACAAACCTTTCTCAGTGAAGATGACCAAAACGATTGGCAAGGATATAAAATATTTCAACACAATAAATTGGATTTAAATAAACTGACATAAATAAACAAATACTGGACTCAACACCTGTAAAATACCATCTTTCCCAAAGGATACATGGAGGAATTCAAATATGGACCATATTCTGGGCCATAAAGTGAATTTCACACAAGTACCAAGGGACTGACATCACTGAGTACGCTCTAAGTCCTCAAAACAAATGAGATATCAAAACAAACAAAACCATGAAAATCTTCATACTTGAAATTTAAAATATGTACTTCTAAACAACCTGTTAGTGAAAGAAGAAATCCCAATGGAAAAACAGAAAATATTAGAAACTGGAGGATAACAAAAACACTAAGAAAATATTTGTAATTGGAGGAGAACAAAATAAAATGAGTAATAAATCGGGAGGGAAATGGCCAAACCTGTGCTTAAATGTATACATTACAAAAGAAGAAAGGCTTTAAAAAAATCAGTTTCCATCTCAAGAAGTTA